ATCAGTTGCAGCATTATGGTCTGAGAGCAATTGTCAACAACTTGGTATAAGGGAACTGTGGGACGGCATTTCAAGCTCCTTACGTACAGCTGCAACCGAAACCATTGGTTTTCGGAAAATGCAAAAGAACACCTGGTAAGATGAGGAATGCGGAGAGTAAAATATTGGGCCTGCCTCGCAAAGTTGCAAAATCGACCACAACACGTGCGGGATGGGATATATACCGAGAGTTGTAGAGGGAAGCGAGACGCATTTGCAGACAGAAAAAGAAAGAGGCCGAAAAAGAGGCCGAATGTGAAAATGGGTCTGGTGATGAACGAGGTCAGGACGAAATATCTCCTGTTATCAAACGAACAGCCGTCGCACTCGCGACTTGGCACTCACGTCACTATTGACAGTCATAACTTTGAAGTCGTAGATAATTTCGGCTATCCTGGAACGAGGGTAAACACCACCAACAATGTCAGCCTGGAAATCCAACGCAGGATAAGTCTTGCCAACAGGTGCTACTTTGGACTGAGCTTGCAATTGAGAAGTAAAGTCTTCTCTCGACGAACAAAAACAAAACTCTATATGTTACTCATAATTCCCGTCCTGCTATATGGTGCAGAGAAATGGACGATGACAACATCTGATGAGTCGACGTTACGAGTTTTCGAGAGAAACGTTCTGCGAAAGATTTATGGTTCTTTGCGTGTTGGCCATGACGAATATCGCATTCGATGAAACGATGAGCTATATGAGATATACGACGATATTGGCATAGTTCAGCGAAATAAAAGACAACAACTACGCTGGCTAGGTCATGCCGTCCAAATAGACGAAAATACTCCAGCTCTGAAAGTATTCGACGCTTTACCTGCCGGGGGAAGCAGAGGCAGAGGAGAAGACCTCCACTCCGTTGGAAGGACCTGGCTCCGCTCCGGAGTCTCCAATTGGTGGCACCTTGCGAAAAGAAGAAACGACTGGCGGGCTGTTGTTAACTCGGCTATAACCGCGTTCTATACCAGAAAAGAAGAAGAAGAATCTTCAAATGATATTCAACATTCTCCCTTTGGAGTTCGTAAATTTGAACTTTGTGTGTTTTTACTTTGAAGAATATCACCCTTTAAATATTTTCTTTGGTTGACTTTATTGCCTACAAATCGGTTGGTGCGTGACATATTACAATCAAATTAAGCCCAGATATACTATAAATCGGTATTGAGTGAATAGTACTAATTTTCGCCATAAAACTTAGTATACGTAGGTTGCCTTTTATATTTCTGGATTTGGAAACCCAAAGCTGGCAATCTGGCAACTGGCAACTTTATTGTAATGTTTGGCATTTTTGATGTTGTCATACTCATAGCTTACGCTACCATTCACTTAAAATATTAATCTCGACCAAAAAATTGAATTAATCCGTGAACATTTTCATGATTTTATGTTTTGCAACCTACATCGCGGATTAACTCAGCAACAGTGTATCGATGAACTTAATTCCGGAAATTATAGATGCTTTGCGAGGAGTATTATTACCAAATCGTTATGTGACCTATCGTGCTTATTAGTGGGAACAGCATATGTTCAGTTTTGCTATTAGACCATAAAACATATTTGTTTACGTTGAGGACCACATGTTTGTCGTTCGATCAAAACATGTTCGTGCCGATTACTCAAGAGAATTAAAAAAAAAAAAAAAATACAATATGCTTCTAAGCACGTCTGATTTTAAAAGGCATGTTTCAATCAGAGCGGCAAAAGTGCGTCGACAATTAGTTCAAACTCATGCAAAAGTATAAAGATCTTAAAGGAGAATATTTTGAAAAACAATAAAGTGATATTCGGTTATAAAAATTTGGTTTTGTTCTCTAATCTCGACATA